AAATTTAATATGAAGTTTATATTTATTAGTGATGGATCCCTACATAAATCTTTATTTTGATTGAACAATTATAGTATTATAGTAAAAAAATTATAAGTGATATGCTTCCTTATTACATTAAAATTTTAAAAAATAAAAATCAGAATTAAATACTTAAAATTTCATTATATCAAACACTTTACCCATGTTTGTCCATTTTTATGTTAATAAAAATGATGATATGGTTTTCTATATCAATAATTAACCTCATACGTCATGCAAATGCTAACTAAGTAAACATGTAAGCCTCACCTCCTAGTGGGATCTATTGTCACATAGTAGAAAAAAATTAAGATAAAAAAGAAAAACCCATTATAAAAGAAATGAGTTTTTTAAAAATTTCAAAATACAAAAGATTAAAAATGAGTTTTTAAACCAAAAAACAAAAAAAAAATTGAAGGTTTTATTTAATTCCAAAATTAAGAAAAACATAAAATTTAAAAAAATATGAAAATTTTCTTTAAAATTTTCATATGATGGAAATTTTCAAAAAATGGAAATTTGTTTAAAATTTTGAAAAGGGAAAGTCAAAATAAGAAAAAGAAATTTAAAAAAAAATGAAAAGGAAGTCACAGAGACAAAATGAATGAAGAGAATAAAGAGAATGGAAGGGAAATAGTGGAGGTGGAAGGCCAATGTCTGTATCGACCGATCGAGGTAGATTAAGATCAATTTGCCACAAAGCAACTAGACCTTTATGTCCTACATCAACAAATTGATGTTAACACCAAACTCTAGCCTTTATTTTTCTCTTTTTTTTTTTTATTCTATTTGTTTTTGTTTCAATGATTTTAGATTTTTTTTTCAAGTTTAAAAACAAAATTAGAAAAAATAAAAATAAAAATGGCATTACATTTTTCCCCATGTCATAATTTTGTTGGGCAATTGTGCCACATTAATCATTTAATTAACGCTATTAGTCAAAAGGGACAAAGTATTTTATGGAAGCAAATTTTAGGTATTTAATTACATAATTTTATTCTTTAGATACTAATGTGATAACAATGATGTAGTTTATGAGGTAAATTTGTATTTAACACTATTATTTATTGCTTTTAGATTTTTCTAGATTAAAATACTAAAAAAACCTCTTAACTATTTTACTTTACTTAAAAAAGCCTTATACTTTTATTATACTTAAATAAATCATTATCTTTTGATTTATCTATATAAGCCCTTATTTCAAACAAAAAGATTGATTTCATTAATGGCTTATTTAAGTACAAATTAAAAATTAAAAGTTTATTTGAATATAAATTAATGATTAATGGTTTATTTGGGTGCAAATTATATGTTAAAAGCTTATTTCGATATAATAAAAATATAAGAGCTTATCTAAATAAAATTATAAAATTTAATGACTTTTTTTATTACTTTATCCATTTATCTATCTAAACTTACTAAATTTATTCTGAACTCGAGATTCAATAATATTTAAAGTGTAATATTGACTAACATTTGTTTCATTGGTAAGTAATAAGAGTAAATATTTGAAAGTTGTGAGTTCGAAGAAATTTATATGCGTAATATCATTTTTAATTAAATAAATATAAAAATAGATTATATAAAGGTAAATTAGAAATTTCAAAAAAAAAAATTAAACTGCATCTAATCAAAATCTAGTAATTAAACTTTTTTTAATTTTATAAATGTCATACTTATTATATATGCCAATCAATATCATTCCAAAAGAGATATGATGTGCTCCTAACTCTCAAATCTCTTAACTTTCATCATAGGGTAACTTTCCAAACCCCATTTTAGCAATCTCACAAATCAAAATGTTGTTATTGATTTTTATGGAATTATTAGTGTGTCAAATTAGAATTATTTGTTTCCATGACTTTTTAGTTTTTTACATTTTCATACTTTAGTACAATTAAAGTCATTGATTCACCATCACAAAACTCTTTTGATATCTTAAAAAGTTCAATTTTATTCTTTTTTCTCACTTTTAGCTAAAAGAATAACAAAAAAAGGGGTTTCAAGAGCAAGTTGGTCTTGAATTGTCTTTTTTTTTTAAACAAATTATTTTTGAAAAAAAACTTTAAAATTTATGTTAATTGAAGACATGTATAGGTGTCAATGGGTCATGTTAGGTTCGCACAATCCATTTAAATATTAGTTTATATGCTAATGCATCGTACTGATCTAGCATTATTTTTTAATGTGTTGTGTTAGCACGACTCATGAAAGCTAAAGGTATGACCTTGCATGATACATGGCCTGTAACTTTCATGGGTTGTGTCGTACTGAGTACGGCATTATTTTTTGTGCTTAGATAGTTAGAGCACAATTCATTAATAATTTTTAAAAATTTTAATTATTTTTTAAAAAAATTCATGTATTATTATAAAAATAACATACAAGAAATTAAATAAAAGTAAAATGAAATAAAAAGAACACATATTTTACATGGTTTAACAAAATGCTTACATCTATAAAGAAAGGTAATAGAATTCACTAAATAAAAATATTGAAATTACAATTCTAATATTTTAAAAAACACACACAAATATATAAAAGATATTATAAAATACAAGATTATTATTTTATTTTTCATCCTCTTCATCTCATAATTAACTTATATAATGTGTTTTGTTTTATGCATTTATTTTATACCTTTCATCATTTAGTTATTTACTTTATTAATTACATTTGTATTTAACTTGAAGTTTTAATTAATTAATTTTATTTTGTTAATTATTAATTAAATATAATTTATTTATCAATAATTTAAATATTTAATAAATAAATTTATTTAATATACATTTATTTTATAAATTACTAACGAAATATCAATAGAAGTATAATTTCATTACAATATAAAAAGAACATGAATACATTCAAAGGTTTAGAACTTATAACAAATGATCAATATGGCAGGGCTAAACTTGTGTCTCGTATTGTGTCATATTGTACTAACTCACGTATTACTTGTTAACACTAATTTTTAGTGGATCATGCCAAATTAATTTATGAATCTAAATTTTTTTTATCAAATATGACATATATATTATTTTTGACAAACCCAATTATTTTATTACAAATCGTATTAAACATAATTTATATAATATTAAATCACGTCACGTCATGAATTATGTAATCTATTTGATACCAGTAAATATGGTAGGTTTAAAAACGCATTCGAAGCCATTAATTATAGATTTGGGATTGTGAAATTTTATTACAATGAAATGAAGTGATACTTATAGTGAAAATAAGGAATTGAAAAGAATTTAAAATCAAGCCCTTAATTCAGTTATTATATTGTAAATAAAAAAAGAGAGAGAGAAGAGCTGGCGTGCGAATTAGGGGTTTGAACAGAGGCCTACTATCACGGCTGAATTAGATAAAGGGAATCTAGACCGTATCCACATCCACAATTTTAAAGTACCATATTGACCCTAAACTTTTTCCGCAATGGCCACAGTATCATTACACGTACACTTGTCAGTTCGGGATGGATTGACATTGTACGTTGTAGGCGGGTTTATGAAATTTCAAGCACACAGGATTGAAACCGATACAGAAAGGACAAGTCCCGCAGGGTGAGCACGTGGGGCGGAAATCCCGAACCCAGTTTGGGTGCACTGTATTAAGATTTAAGTTCTTGATTTTCTTTCCTCTCCCACCCTTTGGATGATTTTATATATTTATATACACTTTTTTCCCCAAAGGAAAAGAGCGCAGATTGGTGCATTGAAGGAGAACCGGGGAGGAGAAGACAAAAGGCCATTGAAAAGAAAAAAACAAGAGAGATCCCAGCAGCCTTCACTAGGGTTTTTTTCTCTTCTTTGGATATATTAAATAAAACATTAACCTGTTTGAACATTGATTTTCTCTCCCTTTTCTTTTCTCCTTGTAAGTCAGCCTTACTTCACAGCTACGAACCCCCATTACTTTTTTTTTTTTTTGCGGTTATTTTAATCTAAAAAGCACAGTACGAAAGAAAAGAGAGAAGGATCTCATAGACGGTATCTATCCTTTTCTATGCAAAAACTCTGTCCTTTGCTTACCGTAAAAAATTTAAAAGGTATTAACTTTTATTGTGTTTTTAATCTACGCACTGGTTTGGGTTTTGTTTTTGTGCATTTATATCTTACAGCCTGTTACTTGCATTGCAAGAGAGAGAGAGAAAGAGGTCAACTGGCTCTTTTTATGCTTTCATTGTGGTTCAGTTAATACTCAGCATGTAGCATTTGAATAGTCTGATTGTGAAAGAGATTGGCTTCGCCTTTTTTGTTTTTGTGTTTTGGTCTTTGGCTTCTGCTTTTCTTTTATATTCCATCTTTTTGAGTTCCCTTTTAGTGTTTATATATATATATATATATATATAGTTCTAACTTTTCTCGTGGTCCTTTACAATTTGTACTGACAAACAGTTGGTCAACCATGTTGCTGGGAAAGTTACGGTTTGTCATATTTGTCGGTCTTTCTATCGCGTTTTCAGGGATTTTTCCCAGGCTGGGCTTAGGAGGGAGATAAAAGGTGTGAACTCTTTGATTATTATAAGAAAAAAAAAGTGGTCTTTCTTGTCCTGTTCCTTTTTTAAACTGACTTTCATGCATGGGCGTTGACAAGGAGGCTCTTTTTTTTTTTCATTGTCTTTGTTTAGATGGAATTGTTAAAATGGTTTTTAGACTTTAGCTCAATCTGGGTATTGTTTGTAAGGTCAAAGTTATTGACAAAAGTGAAAAGAAATTGAAGTATAACCTTATGAGAATGATGGTAACCATTTCCAAGAACCTAGAAAAACTAAAGAAATGAAATAATAAAGTGAGATAAAGAAGAAATTTTTTGTTTTTGTTTTTCCTAATTTAACGAGTTTTGGGGGGTTTGATCGAGAGAAGTAGCAGCAGCAACAGTGGTGGTATGGGTGCAAGACTTGTTGTGGCTGATATTGTTGTACACAGCAACGTTCTAAGTGGTGCCATTGTTGAGCCACCTCTTCTCACCCAGCATATTCCCAAATCTATGCAAAGCTCTCCTTCCCCATCTCTCCCTCTCTCTCCTATGTTTTGCCTCTCTCTCTCTCTCTCTCTCTCTCCCGTGCATTGTCCTTTAATTAATTTATTACCTACTGTATTATTTTTTGTTTTGATGTTGACTGTGTGTTTGCTATTATTTTTAAGATGGGTCATTTAATAGGGGAACTTACTTTTGGTGCAGAAAAGAATGGATGGTCATGGTAAGATGGGGCTGATTGGAGAAAACTTTGATCCGGGTTTAGTTGTGATGATGAAGGAAGATGGATATGAGAGTAGGTCTGGAAGTGATAATTTTGAAGGTGCATCCGGTGATGATCAAGATGCTGCCGCTGATGGACCGCCTAAGAAGAAGAAGTACCACAGGCACACTCCACGTCAAATACAAGAGCTTGAATCGTATGGCTGCATATGTTTCTTTTCTTTCAAGGAATTTTTTTTTATTTGTGGTTTAGTCATCAAAATTTTTATTGAATTGCTTATTGAAGTTGATTTCTTTGTCTTTATTGCATCTGTTCTCTAGTTTCTTCAAGGAGTGTCCTCACCCTGATGAAAAACAAAGAACAGAACTTAGCAGGAGGCTAGGCTTAGCGAGCAAGCAAATAAAATTTTGGTTTCAAAATAGGAGAACCCAAATGAAGGCAAGTTGATAATCTCTTTTGCTCTTCTTTAATCTTGATGAATATTGAGTTCTAAACTTGAGTTCAAGATTGCTAATAATGAAAATTTGTCATTTAAACCAGACCCGATTGGAACGCCATGAAAATGTAATTCTTAGTCAACAAAATGATAAACTCCGAGCAGAGAATGATTTGTTGAAGCAGGCCATTACTAGCCCATTATGCAACAGTTGTGGTGGTCCAGCAGTGCCTGGTGAAATATCTTATGAGCAGCATCAACTTAGGATTGAGAATGCTCGATTAAAAGATGAACTAAGCCGGATATGTGCTTTAACAAATAAGTACTTAGGCCGTTCTCTCTTGTCCTCGGCCAGCTCTATTCCTTCCCAGGGTTTAAACTCCAATTTGGAGCTTGCAATAGGAAGAAATGGATTCGGTGGCTTGAACAATGCTGGCAATACATTGCCGATGGGATTTGACTTTGGTGATGGGGCTATGATGCCTTTAATGAAACCTATGGCTAATGAAATGCCATATGCCAAGTCAGCCTTTGTAGGTGTTGCTTTGGCCGCTATGGATGAATTAATTAAGATGGCGCAGATGGATAATCCTCTTTGGATCAAAGGCTTGGATGGTGGGATGGAAACCTTGAATCTTGAGGAGTACAGGAGGACTTTTTCCTCATGCATTGGCTTGAAACCAAGTGGCTACACAACTGAGGCTACTAGGGAAACGGGCCTGGTTTTCCTTCGTGGCTTGGCTCTTGTAGAGACACTAATGGATGCAGTATGCCACCCGTTCACTTGTTGCAGTGCTTTTGTTGTTCTATTGAACTTTCTATCTGCTGTTAGGATTTTGATTATTTGCCCTTTTGATGCCCTCCCTTTCAGACCCTATGAGAAAAAAATTGATTTTTCTACAGATAATTAGTAGTAATGTTTTTGTCTGCTGAATGCCACCTTTACCTTTCATGTGATATACATTGCACTGGTTTAATTAACTTCACTTCCGGTAGAGATGGTGCTTGTGGTTGCTGCAACTGGTCTATATCTGATTTTATTGATTGCAACTTAAAAAATAAAAATGTTCGAAAATTGTTGTTTGACATGTTCTTTTTCTTCTACTTTATGAATAGAATCGTTGGGCAGAAATGTTTCCCTGCATGATTTCTAGAGCAGCAACTATTGATGTGCTATCCAGCGGTATGGGTATAACCAGAGACAATGCATTGCAAGTGGTATTTTTTTCTGCCATCTGTCCTTTTTGTTTCCTGCTTAGCTGGGCCTTATAAAAATCGTATTTTGCAGGTGGATGCTGAATTTCAAGTGCTTTCACCTCTGGTTCCTGTCCGTCAAGTGAGATTTGTCCGGTATTGCAAGCAGCATTTGGACGGTGTGTGGGCTGTGGTTGATGTTTCTATTGATGCTAGGCAAGATGCAGCAAATTCACAGATGTTTCCGAATTGCAGGAGGCTTCCTTCTGGCTGTGTTATCCAAGATATGGCCAATAACTACTCCAGGGTAATTGCTAATCTGAATTTTTATTTTGTTCTCAATTTTTTTTATAAAGGAAATGTGTACTTGATATTTTGATGCTCATTGAGCTTGCATTGCATTTATATGTTTTTCTTATCGGTATGTAATGAGGTTGTTTTTATAACTACAACTTCTGAGTTTGGTAGAGACTACATGTAGGTGAAATTATATGCCCTTGAACTTTAGTCTCAACCCCCTTGTGCTTTGCTGAATTTAATTGTCCTTTTATAGCTTACCAAATTTTCCTTCTCCTTGATGGGGTAGCTAATAAGATATGGTAGGACTTCACCTAAGAATATGAAGCTTTAATTATTATTTTGCTCAGGAAGATGCTTACTTGGTTAAATCATTTTAATTTTCAGTTTCAAAGTTAAGGTCTTGTGTCATACTTAATTAGTCCACTGCTACCTGCAGAGTTGAGCAAATCAAAGTTACAATGACAGTTTGATATTAATATAATCCTGAGAGTACCTCAATCGTAATCTTTATATGGAGGCAAATTCTTGGAATTGTCAACCATTGTTCTATAAATTATCTTTTGATGTTTCTATTCCCATCTTTCTCTCTCTCTCTATTAATATATTTTTAATTGTCCGCAAGGTCATATGACCTGAACCCAGTCGTTATCTTGAAATCTTTAGAACCCCGTGTTATGTGGTTCTCTGTTTGCTTTATTTTAATAATGTCGCACTCTAACTTAATATGAAATTTGATAGAAAATGTCTATTCTAGTTTGGTGCTTCTATTTTCTAATTATGTCAATGTTTTCTACCCCCTTTTACCAGTACTGCTTCTTGACACTTGACTTGATTTCTTGCCTTCTTCTCTGATCTCGTTTTTGCCTTCCTTCATGCAGTAGTGTTTTGAAGTTTCATGGGTATTTCTTCTTAACAAAATAACAAGAAATATCTTGCAAAAGAAAGACCAAGAAAAAATTTCTAATACACTTGACATTTTGGAGTGATTTACCAACCTAGTTTTGAGTGTACTGGGAGTCATGAATCCATGCTCGGTTTCTATCTCACTTTATCACCAACTTGATAATGGTTATTTAGAGAACATTTCCCTTCAAACTAGTTGAGGAGAATAAAAGTTTTCTGTGCTTCATCTAATAATATCATGACATATATGGACTTGAAAAAAAATCCTTTATTAAGCAATTTTGAAATATGAGATGAATGGAGCCTGCAGATCTTATGCTTTTGTTTTTTGTTTTTCCATAAATTTTAACTGCCTTCTAGATGAACTCATGATAGTTGGTTTGATGTTTTTTGCGAGCGAGCATGCTTACAAATAGTTAAATGCAGGTTACGTGGGTTGAACACTCGGAATGTGATGACAGTGCTGTCCACCATCTCTTGCAGCCACTACTCAGTTCTGGTTTTGGCTTTGGTGCGCAAAGGTGGGTTGCCACTCTCCAAAGGCAATGTGACCGCATGGCAATGCTAATGTCCCCTGACATCCCTGGTGCAGATAATACAGGTTTTTTAAGCTGCTAGATCATTCTTTCATCTTTGACAAATATGGAGGAGTCCCCTTCTAATCCATGCTATTGTGCGGCAGGAATAACTCCAGCTGGGAGGAAAAGCATGTTAAAGCTTGCACAGCGCATGACATATAACTTCTGTGCTGGAGTTTGTACTTCAAGCGTGCATAAATGGGACAAGCTTAGTGTTGGTAACGTAGGTGAAGATGTAAGGGTGATGACCCGGAAGAATATAAATGATCCGGGTGAGCCCCACGGGGTTGTCTTGAGTGCTGCTACTTCTGTTTGGATGTCGATAACTCAGCAAAGGCTGTTTGATTTCTTGAGGGATGAACAGATGCGGAGTCAGTGGGACATTTTGTCCAATGGTGGGCCAATGCAGGAGATGGTCAATGTTGCGAAGGGCCAGGGACATGGCAACTGTGTCTCTCTCCTTCATGGCAGTGTAAGTTTTCACCGCCTGGGTTTATTAGACTTTAGACTGCAGATTTTGTAGATTTTCTCATCCAATTTTTTCTTTATATTTTCTATCCTATCCATGTGTTTTCTTTGTTTGAGTTGTGTTGTTCCTTTTCATGCTACCTCGCAGGCCATTAATGCAAATGAGAACAACATGCTAATTTTACAAGAAACTTGGTGTGATCCTTCTGGTGCTTTAGTAGTGTATGCACCTGTTGATGTATCCTCAATGAATGTGGTGATGAATGGGGGTGATTCAGCATATGTGGCACTCTTACCATCAGGATTTGCAATTTTTCCTGGTATTTCACCTAGTTATCATGGTGGGCAAAGCAACTCCAATGAACCTTCGGTGAAACCTGACATCGATGGGAGTATAAATAGTGGATGCATACTTACAGTTGGATTTCAGATTTTGGTGAATAGCATTCCTACTGCTAAGCTAACAGAAGAGTCGGTTGAAACTGTTAACAATCTCATCTCCTGCACGATTCAGAAAATCAAAGCTGCCCTTACAGAAACATAGCTGGAGCAACTAAGGTGTTGCATAGTTAATTTTCATTTATAATTTTTTTTATTTCAAAAAAAAAAAAGTGAAAAGTATAGGATATAATGAGATATAGAATGTAAAGGAAATGGAGGTTGAGATGGTAGGGTTTCAAGTCAAGAACGAACCGCATAATTTTGTTGTGCCGTGAATCTTAACAGCTTGGTACTTGCTTCGTACTTAGGATTTGGGCAGCAGGGGATTGTGGTTCGGTCATTGACTTGGTCGACCTGTGAGATTTTCAGCTCTTCATTCACAGTTGGTCAAACTTGTTTTGTTATAAATTAGTCAATTTATAGAGAAACACAGGATAGACATGGCAAGACTGGTCTTGATTTTTGTGTTCTGAATTTAATCAAAATCTTGGACCAGCTGTCTTTTACTTGTTTACAGTTTGGTTTTAATTTTTCTTATTAATCTGGATTGACCTTGGAATCTTGCTCTCCATGTCCCAAGTCCCAACGTCTGCGTATATTGTTGGTTTTTCTCTATTGTTTTATGTGGTGCATAATCTCTATCTCCCTTTATCTTATGCTTCGTTTAATTTATAGTTCTATCTGGGATGGTGTAGGGACAGATTTATTTATAATCAATCCGAATTACTTGTTATGTAAAGTTTGAATATTTTACCACCTAACTTGAGAGGTTCTTTGTTAAATTTATTTTAATTTTTTTAATATTTTGAATAAACATAAGTAAATGATAGAAAATATAATATTTAATATTTAAATTTACAATTTTATTGCACTTAATCAAATCCATTGAACACGAGTGGTTTTAGTAAATTATGAGTTTAGCTGATGTGGTTCAAGTAAATTGTAAGTCTTAGTTTTTATAGAATTTGAGTAAAGTTTGGAATCTCAAAATTTCCAGATTAAACCAAAGTTTATTGATTCTACTTGGTTTGATTAGACTCCTAACAACGTCTCCTGTGAAATGATTTTGCCTATACACATTGATTCAGGTATAATGCTGGTTGGCCTCTGGATTAGACATTGCAATTTGTGTTTGTACAATGATGATAGAATTGAGTCTAAAACCCTACCAACCTGTTAGAGTAATCAAACGAAACACTGATTACACAGGCACCTTCACCTTGAAATAAAGAATTATTGCATTATGGGTATCCCATCAAATTACGAATTGTTTAGAGATGATTAAATATTATATAAAATCTATACTTATAAATTTTATAAAATTTTTTATTGTGATTGAATTATTAAAATGCTATAATAAAATCAATTGCAAATGATATTAATACCATCGTAATGAAACAGCTTCATTATTGAATAAGCTCACCTTATACGAAGATAAATTACCTTCTTTTATTATTTTTATGATCTCATCTATCTTTATTAAAAATAAAAAACTTTTTGCATTTTTTTTTTGATTGATTTATTTAATTATATTTTAAAAAATAATATTTAATAGATTTAAAATTTAAGTTTTAACATTTGTAATATTTTTCAAATCTTGGTTTTTTTTAAACTAAAAAACAACATCTCCATTTGACTGTAATTAAGAATTTTTTAAAAGAAATTATGAAAGCAACAAGTTTAATCAACTCGAGGGGCAGATTTGTTACTGGCTTTAGCAATACGATGGAAACTTCACCTGGGATATGACGGAAAGGGAAACAAAATCTTTCTGTCCCCACAGGCATCAGATCCAAAATAAACCCATATATAAACTAGGCCAAGGCCTAGTCCTAGGGTTTATTAACTAACAGTTAAGTATCTTTAACTCAGTTCCCTTCCCAGCCCACAATCAAGAAACCTTTTCCAGACCCAGCCGAGGCCATGTAATTATTACATTTGCATGTTGGCTATAGGCATCTGAAAAAAACATATGAAATAGACTGTTCAATATATATTCCTTTCGTTTAAATTATATCATAAAATTAATTATATATTATATATTATATATTAGAGTTAAATGATAAATATTTATTTTAATAAATTAACTATTTTATAATAAATAATTATTTTTTAAATAATATAATTATGTGAAATAATTTAAATGAACGAAATATATAAAAAGTTATATGGTTAAATTCTACAAGAGGTTTTTATATTTTATAAAAATTTAAAATTTAATTTATGTATTATAATTTATATAAATTTAATTTTCGTACTATTTTGATTTAATAATTTTAATCAAATAAGTAATTTTAATAATTTTTTATCATTAAAAATACTGACATAATTATTGACTTTACTAACATGACGTTTATTTTGTTGATACGAGGTTGATTTGCTAACATAACAATTAAATTCGATGATATTAATTATTAAATTATATAAATGATTCTTATATTCATATAAAATTTGAAATTTAATTTCTGTACTCATACAAAATTTGAAAATTAGTTTCTATACCCGTACAAAATTTAAAATTTAACTCCTTAATACAAAAAAAAAAATTGAAGTTATTAGAAAATTTTCAGTTTTTTAAAAATATTAAATTTAAAAAATGCTACAATATTCTCTTATAATATTTTGTCATAATATTGAAAATTTATTACAATATTCTATTACAATTTTCATATATTGTCACTAAATCTGTTATAATTTTTTATCACCCATATGAAATACTATTATTAATTCTGTCACTATTTCTTATTACATTCATTATAAAATATAAATTTGTTATTATTTTTATCACATTTTTCTGTTATAATTGTAGTATGTTGTGACCATATGAAAAAATCTTACATAAATCTATTTTAAATTATCACCAATTTGTCAATATATGATATGAATATATCGATATTGATGTTTCGATTTATCAAATAAATCATTTTCTCCTTTCATTTTGTTAGGATTCAAAATCCGTCTTTCAAATGAATAAAAGCTTGTCTCTGGTGCATTTCTTTTTTGTTTTTTTGTTAGATGGAATGGTTATTTCATTCATGATCTATTTCAAATTCATTAAAAATGTAACTCTATTCAATATTTTGGTTTATTATAAATTTTGTTATATGGTATATTTAAACTAATTAAAAGAATATTAACTTTGATATACTAATTTCAATTATTAATAATATAATTGATTAATATAAATGATAATAATAATATTATTAATATGAAATTATTAATAATTAATTATATATAATAAAAACTAATATATTTCAAAAAATAATTTTATATTAGAATGACTAAAATATTTTTTAAAAATTAAAAAAATTTTAAAATATTTAAAATATTTTTCATATTAAAGACTAAATTTAAAATTTTATATGAATACAGAAACTAAATTTTAAAATATATGCGAATATAAAAATTAAATTTTAAAATTTTTATGAATATAAAGATTATTTATATAATTTAATAATTGATTTCATCTATCTAATATATTAAATCAACAAGTCAACAATATTTCAATTAAGTTAACGATCAAGTCAATATTTTTAATAGCAAAAAATTAACAAAATCAATAATTAAACTAAAATAACTAAATTTTTTTAAATTACAATAAAAAATTAAATTCTAAATTTTTTTAAAGTGTAACGACTTTTACGTAATTGGATCAAACTACGCAACTTTTTTATACAATCTATCATGCCAAGTTCTTTGGTCCCACTTTCAAACACTTGTTTTGCGTTACATGCCTTGTGTCACGGGGCTAAGCTTTCTCTCAATGAAGCAATAGACCGATGGTACTTGGATTGACGCTTCCGCATAAGTCAGTCAAGAATAACTCAATATCTAAATAGGCAACAAATAAGTCACAAATTAATCTCAAGCATACACAACTATATATATACATATCGAGGCAAAAGGGAAGCATATCAATGCGACACTTGGGGTTTTCAAATAAAAAATATTTTATTAATATCAAGAATAGTACATCGAGTTTTCCCACCATTGTCGGGGTCAGAAAGACAGCCCTAGATGGGTAGTCTAGTATATACCTTAATTAGCGAGACAACCCAACAATACGCTGACTGCTCACCCTCTCTAAAAGGCAAATGAGATTTTATAGCCATGCTACCAATAACCATTACAATGTTTGACATGAGAATACTTTTTTCTTAGCACATAAAATCTACACTCCCTTTTAGCATCTCTACTCTGTCATGGCTCTATACATGTGTAGCTTATGACAACCTATACTAGGCCATGACCTTATATAAGATTGGCTTATGACATCCTCCTCCACCTATTCTATTGATGTCCTAGTCGACTTGTTGGCATAAAATTATTCGATCTTTCACTTGAATGCTTGGAGGTCATGCTCTCTTTCTCAGCTAGTTTTTTCTGGTCCTAAGCCCTTCCACTTCACTAAGTATTCATGAACTATTTTTTGAGATACCTTGGATACCCTGTCAGCTAAAATTTTTCCAACTTGACTTGCTAATAGTGGTTTCGTGGAAATGATAGCCCTGGTTGACCCCCTCGCAACTTGCATCTATAGGATCTATATGAAAAGGCTTTAAGTTGCTCACATGAAACATTGGGTGCATTTTCATCTATTTTGGCGAGTCTATTTTGTATATGGCATTCCCCACTTTACTGGACTCTCATATTTACGCACTAATATGAGATCACCATTTCTCAGGAACCTGGTTTGTTCTGGCACTAGTTTGACAAGAACAAGATCACCAACTTTGAATTGTTATACTCTACGACCCCTATCTATCCATTTTTCATGCACTTCGATGCCTTCTCAAAGTATATATAGACACTTATTTTAGTCTGAACCCATTTCGATCCAAGCCTAGTAGGACACCTATTTTGATTTGGGTCTAATCAAACCTATTTTCGTTCAGTTTTGTTGGATCCATTCTGATCTCAGCCCAATTGAGCCCATTTGGTCCAGACCTAATCGAGTCCATTTCGATCTGAGCCTAGTAAGACACTTGTTTTGATCTGGGTCCAATTGGACCCATTCTTGTTCAATTTAGTTGGACCTATTCTGATCTCAACCCAACTAGGCCTATTCTGGTCTGGGCTTAATTGGGCCCATCTTAGGTCGAA